CGATGGTACACTATTGTGCCTGTGCAGGCTGGTCCTTGTTCCTCTGAGGTCAAGAGCTTGAAAGAAACAGAACCAATGCTAGTGAAAGATCTATTGAGAAGTCTTCCAATGAATGAAGCTCCTTTTCTGAAAGACACTGTGTTTTTTAAGGCATTGGTGCAAAAGTCATCTCTAAAACAATCTTCTTTGCCTGAGCTGGCATGTAACACTTGACTAAGCAGATACAGCTCTGGAATAACTACACCACTCCAACCACAAAGCTAAAATAGGTTGTCCCTGATAATTGTTACACCTCCTTTAATAATAATAATAGTTATTCCCTCTTTTTACCTGGGTGAGCCATTGATATTAACTTCAGGGGTAGTTTAAATGGTGTGTGTGATTCTCAGAAATGTACAGCAGAGGGGTTGTGGGATACTGTAGGCTTTAGGAGATCTTGTTATGGTTCTGAACATACAATAGATGCATATATCCTTGACACATTTGGTAGACCCTGAAGACGGGCACAGTGATTTTTTGTGACCATGTAAACTCAAGTGAGAATATGTGCTAGCAAGGCAATGCCAAGTGCAAACAAAAACCATATGCTTGTTCTGATTCTCTGCATTTGAGAACTTAGCCTCTTCTTTATATGTTTTGCCTGAGCCTGCTTGGTTGAGTCATGCTGTTATTCACTTTGGGACTCTTTCCATTCTCTGATACACAGTAAGGTCATGTGGATTATTTCAGTGGCAGCCAGTAGTCAGATGTGGTGCCACAGCCAAGTGCCTAAGTATTAGCAGAAGCCTGGAATAACACAAAGCAAAAGGTAGCCCCAATAAGTGACAATGTGAATAGGCCTTGGTAGTGTGCATGCTAAAACTGCATTAACTCTGATGGTAATAGAAGCAACAGAAAATGATCTATTTTATAACCACAAAACTACTGCTTCTGGCCAAAAATATCAGAATGTCTTGAAAGTAGTTAATTTCATGAAAATGTTTCTTTCTAAGGCTAAAGATGGTACAGCTACAAACTGAAGTGTATTGATACCAGCTGCAACAGGGGCAGTGTGGTGATGGTCTGTATTTCAAGAAGAGGTAGATACTGGCACTGGTGACAGTAGACCATGAGCTCCGTAACAGTGTGTTTCCAGTTCTCTATGGCATGAATAGCAAGGAAAGTTGGCTGTTTCAGCCTTTCCCCCTACCATTTGCCTAAGAATCGTTCACAACTTAGAGATGTTAGGAGTATTTTGGCCTTGTTATAGCTTGTAGAATTGGTTTTCTTGTAGGTCTGCATTTTTGCAGAGGAGAGGGTCTTTTGTACATGGATGAGATTTTTTTTTGGTTCTGGACAATGCAAAACGCACAGTTTTTCAGCTCAACATCAGAGGGAAGGTGAGTCCAAGTCTGCAATATGTAGGTCTCATATTTTTTCTCCAAGGCAGGATACCATTTCTCATTTGGCTCCAGCATCTATCTTCTCAAGATAAGAAATATCTTCTAAAATGAAATGAAATGAAGATGTTAGGCAGAATATATCAAGATGGAGAAAGCCTCTCTGAAGTTTTCTTAAAAGATCAAGCTGAATGTGGGGCAACAGCTATTGACAACCCATGATTTTTCACTTCCACCAAATACATTTTGTTTAAAATTTTCAGTTTTCATGTGTGACATCAACAGCAGATTTGAGTAGAAATGAGAATCAATTATAGGGCACTGCATGTAATTATCCTGTTCATTCTACCTTTGAGAAGTAATTAAGTGACCCTACTTAATCAGGATGAAACCACTCGTTAAGGTGCTTTAAGAAATTAGCTTTGATTTGTGCTCAGTGCAAATTCAGGAAAGGGTAGGTCTAGCTTCTTGCCAGCACAGATGATGGCCTCATCTGGCATTCTGGAAAATGTTTTTGCATTAGTGGAATATAACTCACAGGCTACTGCTGTGAGGAGTAAGCTGCAGGGCTGGCCTGTGACTATAATGTGGCTTAGTGTCTGAAGAAAGTTAAACGTAGCTTCATGGAAAGCAGATAGTTTGGCATATAAGCAAGTACAGAAATAGCTTGTATACTGGTTCGCTCACATTATCAAAAAATCCCAGGAAAATGGTGTGATCTCAACTGCTTCTGATATACAAAAGTTTCCATCTGTTGATCTCTGATTGTCTTAAGTAGAGAAGAAATATGCAGCAATTGGAAATGGGAGTTATGAAGATGAACAACTTCTTCCAAAGACCGCTGCATGAGAGGGTTACTTACAAATGAGAGGAACTGTTAAGTGACACTCCACCAATATCCTAAAGATGAATGTTTCTTAAACAGTTTCAAATCATCAGGACGCACATCAGGAGTCACCTCATTTTCCAGGTTTCCCTCAGCTGCTACAGAGAGTACTTGGAATCTACTTCGTATCTCACGGAAGACTAGCTTTACCAGTGAGCTTAATTGAGCAATTAGATTTACAGAACAGATGCCTACTTTTCACCTGCAGCACTTCGCAGTTTTTTACTGATTGAAAAAATAGTTCACCATACAAATTAGGTATTAGAGTAGCGCAAAAATGATTTGATGAACAGAATGAGTTTCTATTCATTATCCTGCTTTACTGTCCTAGAAATGTGTAATGGACACTTTTGCTTGCCATCACTGTGTGTCGTTGAAAGCAAACGACGATAAAGGAACCTTCTTCTTGTGAAGCCGCAAACAGCAAGCCTGAAAAAAACTTAGAAAAATGCCTCCATTAAATTACATAGTCCAAATAAATTCCCAGTTTTCTGTTAGGAAAGGGATTTACCCCCCATACTAAAGCTGTTAAGTACCAAAGGATCCAAGAACATGTGTATTTTTTGTGCCTAGTTTTTGTAACCGTTAGTTTGAGATTCCAAAAGTTTGGGGTCCATCAGGATGTTTTCTAGTAGAATTAAATTAAGCTTTTCATGGATTTGCACTCTGTTTCCACTCATGCAAAAATAGTGCTTTACATGCCTATCTTCTTCTATCTATCTTCTAGTTTGTTAGTCTCTGTACTTCATTAGAAAAATCTTCACCAAAACCTCTTAATCCTGGCAGCTTTCCTAGTAGAATCAATCTTTTGAGGATATGGGTGATCAGTAATGACAAAAACAGCCTTGGTATTAGTATTTCACTTGATAAATTGCAGAGATCTAGGCATCGCTTACATTTGTCAACAGTGACTTTCCAGTGAAGTGCAAAGGCATTTGAAAAATTACCTCTAATGTTTCAGGCTAGTGGGGGAAGTACCTTTTCAAACAATGAGAACATTTCCCTTATGCACCATTAAGCCAACTGAGGAGAAAGGAAAACTGGATAGGAGTGGGAGTATGCTTGAGCTTGTACGGCTAGGGTTGAAATAGCAGCGTGTCAAGATTATTTAAGTTCTATTCCTGTGAGCCATGCCATGTCATGATAAAGTGCTTTTGTTATGATACTGTGTAGAAGAGTCCAAGTTTCTTTTCTTTAGAGCTGCCCTTCTGTGGCTGCTGTTCCTGGGCTTCTCCTGGTTCTCATCTTCTTCCTATAATAATGTGTGCTAAAATAGATTATCTCGATCTTCTGTCATATCCTCCACGAAGGATCCTCAGGACCTGCTGCTGGTCTTCATCTTCTCTCTCTCTCCATTTTGCCAGCAAATACAGATGCCACATATGTGCAGATGGAGCTTAGATCCCTTTCTTGCCTCTGTGCTGTCCTATTCTGCCCAACCTAAACCCTCAGCTCCAATATTTTGCAAGGAATTGCTGTCAAATTGGATGAGACACAGATTTCATCATGCCCAAAGCCCTCTCTGCTGCTTTCTTCTTTGGTCCTGCCTCACACTTCTGTCTACAGGACAAACACTGGTGTCTTTGGAGCATGCTGTGCTAGGAAAGACATTCCAGACAATGAATTATTCCACCTATTTTTAGCTTTTTTTTTTTTTTTAATGTTGACATTATGAGATGTGAATGCCACCCTGAAACCCTGTTGAGCATCAGTGGAGAATGGTCTGACATTTGAAAATTGTGTTAACTGTTGGATGTTCAGTGGGCAGATTAGGCAAAAAGTCATCATTGTTTAATGATTATCTGTATTTTCTTTGAATTCTAAATGTCAACAAGACTAGCAGAGGTTAAATTGCAAAATTTCAAATGTTGTCTATGTTACTCTCCATGTTATTATTAGAGGCCACTACAGCTCACTAAAGTGGAACATTCTGTGCTGAGCAGTTTTTTTTTATTATTATTATATATATGTATATAACATTCATCTTCATAGCACTGCTATTGAAAACCTAAAGCATAAAGTGAGAATAAAACAAAAACTAACACTAAATTACTGTTCAAAGTAAGTGGAAGATCAATAGACTCTGGTATTGGGCCATGTAAGTGAGCAAAATGTTCCCTTGGACTGAATGTGAAGTGACACCAGGTCTTATGGTGGAGCATGGGATGGAGTCAGTTTTTCCCAGGGCTCTTCTGATGTTTGCTGTGTACCCACCGTGCCTCTCCAAGTTGTCCTCAAGGATTTTGACTTTCACCTTTTTGTCTGTGAGAAAACATGCTGTTTTCTATGTCAGAATGAGCCTATCATCACTTGGGAAAAACAGGTGGACCCCACCTTTGTGGGAAAGGGCATTACTGTTGTGTGATCTGAGCAGGTTAGAAGGTAAAAGCAGCTAATGCATGTATTTCATAGCTTATTTCTAAGAATGATAGAAGGAGTTCACCAGATCTGGAGATCTTTCCAATAGACACACCGTGCTAAGTGTAGGTGATTTGACAAAAAAAAATTCACATCACATTTTCACTCTTAATAGCCACTGAAGTTTTTCTCCTATTTCTCCCTCTCCACCCAGACATGTAAAATTCCTGAAGTAAGACAGGTCAGGGACATAAAGAGAACTTTTGCCCAGAACGACCAAGGACAAACTGATCAAAAAAGGGGAAAAATTGACTTGACTGAGGAAGGGGCAATTCTCATTTCCTGAGTAACAGGGAGCTCTCTGTTTCTAACCCCAGGTCCTTCTTCAGTAATTAGCAATGATGATGATTCAGCAAGTCCCCTCCATCACATCTCAAATGGCAGCAACACTCCATCTTCTTCTGAGGGGGGTCCAGATGCAGTCATCATCGGAATGACTAAGATTCCCGTCATTGAAAATCCTCAGTACTTTGGGATTACTAACAGTCAGCTCAAGCCAGATACCTGTAAGTACCAATGCTTGCATGTCTTTCAATCATTCATTTTCATTTTGCAGGTAATGGGGCTCCTTAACAAAGCTTATAGAAAAATGGTGTAAATTTCTGGGAGTGGAAGGGTGGTGTGGACTTAAAATATATGCAATTGTTAAGGGGCACATAACATGTACTGCTTTACATTTATCAAAGCCAAATTCAGCCTGTGTGATGAAACGAAGAAGTCAGCAGTGTTATGCTCAAAACCCAATCCATATTCCATCAAAGTCACTGGTAGTCTTTCCATTGATTTCAGTGGTCTTTGGCCGGTCCTGTGCACCTAATATATTCTTGGGAGAAAGCAAATCCTGGGGCAAAACCAGGAGTCAATATTTGTTCAGTATTGTTACATACTCACCGCTTTTAAATTGGTTGTTTTGATTATGATTATAAACTAACTTTGAAATCTGAATATTTGTGAAGTTACAAGAATAATAAGGGTGAAGATTTTCACTTGCTTAATTTCATCGTATAACTCAAGTACTACAGCTGGAAAAGATGTTGTATATTTAAAAATGGAACAGGAGGTTTTATGATGGATAATACATGTCATGAATAAATTTTCTGATGCTCAGCTAGAAGCAGGTGAAATCAATATACTTTGGAAAAAAATGAGAAAAGTAAAAATAATTAACTTTGAATTGTTAAAAAAAGAGCAACCCAAACTTCAGTTATTGCTCTTCATCATAGTTTTGGTAAGTGGACTTGCTAATATTTAAAACAGCAATTGACACTGCAGAAAATGACTGATAAATATTTTAAGGATATGGTAATCAATAGTAACTGCACGATTTATTATGTATAATTGGTACATGAAGATCTTTAAGTGTTTCAGTGAAGGTTTTGCCTTTTGATTTTGTACATTTATTCCTGAAGTGTCACAGGAGGCCTGATCTGTTTATCTGGGAAGTGTTTTGAAAGATTCCTGCTTCAATCAGTGAGCACTGGGTGTGCAACTAAGGGACACAACATGCATCTTGTATAGTAACTAATTCAACTTCACAGTACAAACTGTGGCTTAGAGGTGTATGACCTACATCAAAAACCTTTGCCTTCAGCTTTGCATAGCTTAAGTGATGCAACAGGTTTTTTTCCTCAATCTATGTATAAGTGCATGCAGGACTTAAAAGGGTGTAAAGACTAATGCAAGATTACCTGCTTGCCTTGTGACTGTTAACACTGATCCACAACTTGATTGTTGTAGTAAACACAATCTACAGGTGGATGTTCCTGCAATGCAGCAGGAGGCATTTTCTGACTCTTTTTACATCCCTGGTGTTCTCACTCACCATAATTTTATTGTATAGTACTGCTTTTTTTTGTTTGTTTGTTTTTAGAAATAACCCATAATCTCATCTGCCAGAAAGTATTTGAATAATCTGGCATAGTATATACAATGGAGTGCATAATCACTGAATTGCTGGTACATGATCATCAAAAGAAAAATCTTATATAGATGCTCTGTGTTTAGAACACTAATTTCTGTGAAAAATAGAAGGCATTAGAAGGCATTGGCATACCACAAATGGACAATATACCCACTAGAGCTTTCTAAAATTATATAGAAGTGCATGCTTTTAAATGTGAGGCTACTGTACCTCCATTCCCATCTGTATTAGACAACATTATAATAGTTTAAACAAACATCAGTGACTAGAGACTATTTCTCTTTCAGCATTAATGTTGAAACGACATACATGCTGTTCAGGGTGGGAGAAAGAAAACAAACTGTACCAAAACCCAGAATTCTCTCACATTTAGTAAGCTTCATATTAATTACAGGCGCATTAAATCATGCTTCACTAGCACTAACTAGGTCCTCATCCTGAAAATACATGAGTCCGTATTTGGTTTTGTGTGCTGCAATGAAAGCCACATGGTGTCAGGGAATTTAATCATAGTACATGAAGTTGGCTTGTGCACGAACATTCGCAGAAGGAGATCTTGAGACTTTGCAGTGATGCCCCTGGGAGGTATGAGGAGCCGCTCTGCTTTCTGCTCCATTGTTGTGATGGTCCCATGCTTTGTGCTGTTATTGTTTTCACAAAGAGATAAACTGTACTAGTGTATAACTTGACAAACCAAGTTTTCATCTGGTGCACCATGAATTTTTCCAATGAAGAGGGTAATTCAGATTGTCTAGGACAAAAATGGTCTTCTAATGAATAGTTTTGCATACCCTTTGCCTCTTTCACTCGTTATTACAGAACTGCATTTGTTCTTTTTTAACCCTCCAGCCTCCTCCTGATGTGTATTTCTGATATTTTCAAGCTCTCATTCTTTTTTCCTGTTTACAATAATGCCAAATGTCATCTGATTTCTGAGATGAACATTTATGTTTATTTGCTGTCTGGTCTAAGTTCCGTTGTCCACTAGCATGAGGCACAGCATCATGGACTGCCATACTGAAAAAAATCTTATGTATTTAGTGTATGATAGTTTGTGGGTCGAGGTGAGACTTCTAGCTAGGTGGACCTGTACTCAGAATATATATTTTCGTGGAAGTAGGAAATCTATCTCTTAACAGATAAGATATCCTTTTTTGAATTCTGTGTGTTGAGCTCCATTGCAAAGTGTTAAAAGGGCACACATTTAAAAGAAAATTAAAAAATTGATTCCAATCAGTTCCATCTGAAGTTCCATCACTGTACTTTTACTGCTACAGTTCTAAATCCTAAGAGAGGACAGCTTGTAAAGGGTCAAAGTCTCAGGCTGCTGCTCAGGCTTCCTCTTGATAGACACATTACAAAGTAGAAAGCAAAACTGATGAAGACCAACCCACCCAGCAGCTTCTCAGGTTGGATTCTAGTCTTCACTTGGAAAGACTCAATTTGTGGCCCAGATTTCAATGCAAACTGGTGCTCAACCTCACCTTTAATTGATACCCAAGGACAGTATCATCCTTTCTGTTCCAACAAACAGCTAGCATTTAGCGTAAGCCTGCAAACCTTTTGCCTGGAAGTTACCAACAGCATTCAGTCGTTGCTGTTGAAGATCAGCATGTAGCTTTCTAGTGGAGTAATGCTGGCGACCACAGGAAGATTGTAAGTATGGTAAACACTGAGTTATTCTCCCTTATATCAACAAGGCTGTCAAATACCTTGCTGGCACAGTGGCTAGCCATTTAAAGAAGGTTAGCTTCACTAATCCCATAAAATGTCACACCCCTTAAGCTAGTTATCTAGTCTTTTTATTGATAATACGACATTTTGTAACTTGATCTTCTACATTCCTGCATTGAATTTGTAGTTGCTGAAGTTATCAACTGATCCTGCTAGACCTGTTGAGATAGCATGGAATGAAACAAAGACATTTTCCATATGAACAGTTGTGGAGCATCTTCAGCCATCACTTAGTTTGGCAGCACAGTGTTTGAAATTTATCAGCCCATAATGGTTTCTTTTCAGTGATTTCTAGTCAATTAACAAATGTCTTGTTGGGAATAATGTGAAAAACAAAATTTGAAGAGAGGACATGTAGAAAATGTCAGTGGAATTGCCAAGTTGAGACTCTAAGGACAGGAACTGGGTAAGAGCCTACTTTCAAGTGGATGTGGAATTTGGAGAATCAAATCTTTCTCTGAATTGCGCTCAAGTGGCTCTCCTCTAGCAGTCACTGCTGTTGGCGTAGTTGAAAGGAAGACAGCAGCTCTCCCTACCATGAAGAAGTTTGTAAGACAGCTCCAGAGTCCAGGTGCCTCAGGATGAATCAGAAGCAACTGCATTGATTTAATCCCTTAAGATATTATCGATGCAAAAAAACAGACTAGGAAGTCATATTAATTAAGTGGTGGGAGGTTCAGTGGCAAGGTGTTTTCAGTTGCTGGCACTGCACATATCTTTTGGTTTTCAGATGGTGTTGTGTGGACTGTGATTTTCATAGAAGAAATTTGCATATATTTATGAAATAATGTTAATATTCTGGTCTGTATATCTGTAGAATGGGATGTGCTCCTAGAGGTGCAGGAATATGAACGTGCAGTTTAGATATAGGTACTGGATAATTCAGTATTGAAGAAATAGAAGATAAGTTAGACTCCACTGAAAAGCTTATACTTATAAGCTTCCAGTATTCCTGTTTTACTAGCTCTGAGTGTCTTAATTCAGATTCTAATGATACAAATGGAAAAATACACTTTAATCATTTGAGTTAGTGGACAAGACGTTGTCCACATACTTGCTGTGAATAATTACCGTGCTTCCAGTTGGCATCTGTGAGAGAAATTCTGAAGCTGATTGTATGTTGCTAGAAATAATTCCCTTTAAATTGATTTTGAATTATTTTGCTAATCTGAAAAAATAATTAACACTTAAAGGCACCAGTTATAGGGTAAAATTTCTAATTGTGCACATAGTGGTAATTTTAAGAAGTTTTGAGAACCACTCTCTCCTATTCCATTTTGAAAACTGACCTTTTCAATTTTCTGTACACTTGAGGGATTGTCACACCATTTAGTTGAAGGTGATCTCTTACTTAATTATTCTGTGGCTATAGATTTTTTTCTAACATATGAGGAGGCAGACTTTGGCTGTTCCTGTTAGGAAAGCTGCAGAAAGGCAGAATCAGTTTACCATTGCCTTGAATGTCTTCAAGTCTCTAGAATTTGAGAGCAAAAGAAAAGGAGGATTATTCTTGTGATTTGAATGTGTTTCTCACAGTATTGCACTTTTAAAGTTATAGCTCTTGGAGGCTGGGGTAATGACTTCAGATTTCTTTTAAAAGGCAAAGATGCTTGAGAATTCAAGCCAGACCATCATTTTTGCCCCAGGAATTACCCATATTGCAGTCTTGATCAATTACCCATATTGCAGTCTTGATCTGTACTTGAAGTCCATTTATATCTAGTAAAAAGGCAAATGGTTACTTTTTTGACAAAATATTTACATGACCTGATTTATTTGGTAAACTGTTACTTGCTTGGGGGTCCTACTCCTGAGCATGCAACTGCAGGAAAGAATGGAGTGGCTTGTGGC